CAGAGGGAGAAGCAGGCTCCCCGCTGAGCAAGGAGCTCGATGCGGGACTTGATCCCAGGACACCGGGATCATGACCTGAGCCGAAGGCAGCTGCTTAACCAACTGAGCCACCCAGGCGTCCCCTGCCCGACTAGATTTTTGGTTAGTAAATAGATTTAATTCTGTTTTGTTGTTACAAATCAATTCAGATTTTTAAAATTTTGTTATGAATGACTTCTACCTTAATTTTCAATATTATTGGAATAAATTTTTCAATATGATCCTGTTATTTTGTCTACTATATTTGTAACTGTGTCCAACTCTCCAGTATTTTTTAACAAATTGATCATGAACTATTTCACAAAACATCTCAATAAACTACAACAAATCAATCGTAGACAATGCTTCATGATGACAATGTAATATAATTAGTAAACAACAAAAAGATAGTTTAAAATAACACCATATGTTTACAAGTTTTAAAAACATTTCTAGTAATTGGTAATACAATGTGAACCATATGTTGTTTTTGTTACATATGTTCTAGATATTACTTGCCAGTAACATCTCTGGTTGTCAGCATTTACTGCTACCAACTGATTTGTGGTTATATTCAATTTGCATTTTCTTTTGTACTACATTTTTTCAGATCCTGTTTTATGTGCTTTAATAAGAGTCTACAGTCTTATTTTTATAGGTCCCTTGGTGATTTTATATTTCTGATGTTATCATCAGAACAAATACTTTTTCCCTGAGCTACTTTTCCTGTGGAATTCCATATGATGTTTAACTGATTCACTATAATCAGTACATGCTTCCCTTCACCTGTTTCAAAATGGCTGAAAGATGTCATCTCATCTGTTCTTGCGAGGAGATGGCATGTGTCACTGATTTTTCTTACTCAGATTTTTGTTCCTATCCAGATTACTTAATCTTTTCCTGACTCAGAAAAGGGGTTGCTTGAAGAACATTTGCTAGACACAACGAATGACAATTGTGCACTTATTGTTCTTGGTCCTGGTATCTCCAGGTTTCCCCCAGATATTTCCCCATGATGTCCAGCACCAGTCACATGAGAACTTCTGGACTAGACCGCTGCACTTACACTGTCTTCATTCAGCTAGTCACAAGACACTTACTAGACTTGAAGCTGTCTTTGGGGCCCAGCATTAATAAAAAGAGTAGCTCACACATTTTACGGAGCAGGCACGGTTCTGGGGGATTTCCATGTGCTTACTTATTTTGGATGCAGAGATTTTATTCAGAGTAGTCATAAAAACATTTTTAACCTTCCTACGGTGAGATATATTTGACGTTTGCCTCACCGGTTTGTTAAAGGTGGAAAATTAATTTAATTCAGATTCAGCGGCAGCAGGATTAGTGAGAAACAAGTTTTCAGCATTTTCCTCTTGCCCTTACAGTTAAGATTAAGTTAAGATTGTCACAACAGATTAGATTAGCATAATTTCAGTTATTATTTGCATAGCCTATGGAAAAATATGCAAAGGCAGGCAAACATAATTTATTATTTGGGCTTTAATACACTTAAAATCACACCAGTGACTGTAGAAGATTACAAATGATCCTCGCAGGATTTTTTTAAATTATTTTTTTCCTTCTTCATTCATTGGGTGTTATTTACTAAAGCTACACTCACTGCTTTTGCATCTTTATCGGATGGTTTTTGTTTGTGCTCAAATAGATAACAGAAAGTACATCTACAGTCCCCAGGCCCTCTATGGAGGGAGGATCTGACCCTAAGTTTTCCTGGGAGCTGAGCCACTTCCTAATGTTGCTGCCTGCCTGTGTGCAGTTCCTTTGTTAGCTGTGTGATGTATCTGTGGTTTGCAGGGCCAAGGAATTCAGAGTTTTCATTCCCTTTTGAGTCAAATTCTTAGTCTTCTCTATTCTAGGCAAAATCTCCTCCTTTCTAATCACTATGGAGGTGAGTGTCTGCCCTGAGCCCAGCTCTGCCCCACTTACCATTCCTTAAAACACAGGGAAGAGGACAGCGGCACTTCTGCCAAACTTACTGGGGGAAGGAAGTAAAACAAAGAAAACATGCAGCCCTTCCATGTGCATTGACATCTCTCATTCTGGGAGATTCTGATTTCTGTTACACATTCGCTCGATGGGGAGAACTAGTTTACTAGTTGGTCTTTGAATGTCTTTCCTTCTCCCTGCAGTATAGAACAGGGTTTCCCAACAACATAACTACGACACCGTAGTCCAGATAAGTCTTTAATGTGTGGAGCTGTCCTGTGTAGCAGCTTTTTTGGCCTCTACCCTCTAGATGCCAGGAGCAGACGTCCTCCATTTGTGACAACCGTCGTTACCTCTGGACTATGTCAAATATGCCCTGGGGGGCAGAATTACTCCAGTTAAGGACCACTAATATATATTACATTTAACTGTAATTATAGATACCATTAATCTAATTTACAGAAGAAAAATAATTACAGAAAACAAGGTTGGCTACTGTGACAAAATACTTTTTAAAATTTTACATTTAAAAAAGCAAGTAGAATATATTTTTTTAAATTGATCAGATTGACAAAAATGTTTAATAATTCAGTAGATGGGAATGATGTTAAAATGATGAAGAGCCTTGCATTAGAGCCCACCAAGACTTAACAGCTAGCTGTCAGGCATTTAGATGATAGTGACCGAAATGCACTTCTCATGCTTTCCTTCAGCAATATTGGAATGATTACTCTGCTCTAGAAATTGTGCAGAGGACTGGGGTTACAGAAATGAAAATGAAACAAAACAGTCCTTATCTTCAAACATTGTTTGACAAATATCATTTTTCACAAGATAGAATCTTTATAAATTCAAGGAATCTAGACAGTATGAACTTGAATGAAATTTAATTCTAAATTTTGTCATTTTCTCAGTATTTGCCAAACTACTTTTGCCCGTGTCAATAAAATAAAATTTTGCTAATTTTTATCAGCGAAAGAAAGATCGTTGTGAATTGTCAAAAACTATTTAATGAATCTTTTTAAAAATTTTCTATTGTTACTCAAATTACATCAACTAAAACATTGCCATAATCATTTTAGGGATCTGTTTTCATGATGAGGTAAATAAGACTTAAAATTGACTTCTCATTTGTTTATCTTCATACTTCCTTCTTCAGTATATATATTTCCCTTAACAATATATATTCAAAATATGACATGATAGCATATTTCTTTGGTTTATAATGAATGTAGAAAATACTTTTTAAGAATAGTCCATGAAGCATTTGCCTTTCCTCTACCGATATACACTGAGATCGTTGGCAATGATTCATTATTATAATTGGGTGATTGGGCATTAAGGAGGGCACATGATGTGATGAGCACTGGGTGTTATATGCAATTGACAAATTATTGAACACTACATCTGAAACTAATGATGTACTCCATGTTGGCTAATTGAATTTAAATAAAAAATTAAAAAAATAAGATCATCACCTCAGCTTTCAAAAAAAGGCAGTTTAAACAAAACAAAACAAATTGATACTGCAATGAAAAACCTTCTTCATGCCCCCTTGTGCACTTCTTTTTTTCTTTTTTTAAGATTTAATTAATTTACTTGACAGAGAGAGACACAGTGAGGGAGGGAAAACAAGCAGGGGGAGTGAGAGAGGGAGAAAGAGGCTCCCCACCCAGCAGGGAACGCGATGCAGGGCTCAATTCCAGGACCCTGGGAACAGGACCTGAGCCCAAGGCAGACACCTAACAACGGAGCCACCCAGGTGCCCCCCTCCTGCCATGCATTTTAGTGAGAACTTCTGTACAGTAGGCACCTTGTCTTTGCACACATCTGCACCGTCACTGTTTTGCCAAGTGATCCTTGAAAGTGGCTACACTAATTTCCACACCACCGAAAGTATGGATTGTTTTCACTTACCCCCAATTCATATTTGCAATTTGCTTATACTCTCAGCCAATTTGATGAATGGATAATTGGTATTTGATGATTTAAATTTGCATTTCCCTGATTGATGAGAATAAATATTTTAAATTTCTTTTTCTATGAATTGCTTGCTCATATATTTTCCTATTTTACTATTGGGTTTTGGCTTCTACTTATTAAACTATAGGATTTCCTTATACGTTCTTTACATTCTTGTTTGTTATCCTTTGACACTTGTAGTTGCATATATCTTGTCCTGGTGAATGACCATCCTTTGCCTTTGTTTATTTTGTTTTTTTAATTGTGTTGAAGATTTTAGATTTAAACCCTCATTAAATTAGCTTTTAATCCTCATTAATTTTTACCAAATTAATGTTTCCTTTGTGTTTTATTCCGTATGTATCTCATTTAAGAAAAACCTTCTCTATGCCATTTATAAAGTTATTCCCTATAATTTCTTTTAAAATATTTGTTTTGCCTTTAACATTTGTTTTTAATCCATTTAAAATGTATTTTTGTAAATACTGAGAATAAGCATCTATGTTTAAGAATTCAGTGTGAATAAACCTATCGCCCTGGTAATATAAGGTGAGAAGTCTAATATCTTCCCCATCGATTTTTAAGACTGTCTTTTCACATACCAGACTCCCTTAGAAGAATAATCCTGGTGTGGGGACTTTAATCTCTTTTATTGACCCATTGGTCCCAGGTGTTTTTAAATAAAGTTTTAACACAGTTTTTAAATAAGATCTATTTTTAGAATAATTTTAGATTTATAGAAAATCGCAAAGACAGTATAATATTTGTGTTGTGCACCCAGTGTCCCCTATCATTGACTCCTTAATTAGTATGGTATGTTACAATTAATGAACCAATATAGATACATTATTATTAACTTAAGTACGTTCTTTAATCACATTTCCTAGTTTTACCTAATGTCCTGTTTCTCTTCTAGGATAAGACCACATTAAGTTGTCATATCTCCTTGGGCTCTCCTAACAATTTCTCAGACTTTCTTTGTTTTAACGATCTTGACTGTGTTGAGAGGTACTAGTCAGGTAGTTTGTAGAATGTCACTTTATTGGGATTTGTCTAATTTTTTTTCTCCTTATTAGACTGGGCTTCTAGGTTTTTTGATCTGCTTGGGTGCCTGCCCTGCTCTCCTCAGAAAGCTTCATTATGTGAGTAATACAACTTTTCATACGCTCTTGGTGCTTGTGTGGCTTATCAGCCTGACATAGGAACTAAATTTGAGGAGGAGGGAGACAGTCAATCCTGACCCCATAGGGTGGCCACAACAGTTACATTGTTCATTAAAACAAATTAATATCTTTGAATTGAGGCCCTAAACTGTGTTCTAGTGAATGTTTACAGAGCAACTAAATATTCTGTTAAACTTCTCACCAGGATATCAATTATGAACCTGTGGTGATAGATTTTGTGTTGCATCTGTCTGAATTCCCCTGTGGCTCAACATGATGGTCTCTCTGAGATCATAGTCATTCTCTGATATTTAAAAAAAAAAAAGCTCTAAATCTTTGCTTCTAATATTTTGGTATTTAATATAGCTCTGAATTTATTTTATGCTGCTATAAGAAAAAGATATAATTTTATTTTTTCTATATAAATGATCAATTATTCCAGTACCGTTTGTTGAATGCCCTTATCTTTCCCTACTGGTTTGAAAGACTCTGTCATATAAGAACATTTCCCGGGATGCCTGGTTGGCTCAGTCATTAAGTGTCTGCCTTTGGCAGCTCAGGTCATGATCCCAGGGTCCTGGGTTCAAGCCCACATCAGGCTTTCTGCTCAGGGGGAAGCCCGCTTCTCCCTCTCCCACTCCCCCTGCTTGTGTTCCCTTTCTCTCTGTCTCTTTCTTTGTCAAATAAATAAGTCTTAAAAAAAAAATTTCCTTATATGTTCCTCATATGTTTGTACAATACCACAGACTTTAAGAAGGGGAGCCTTTAGCTTAGGGCCCATGCTTCAAAGGGTCTTCTTTTGTCCCCCTCCAGCCACATCCCTTCCTTTTTTTTTTTTTTTTAAGATTTTATTTATTTATTTGACAGATAGAGATCACAAGTAGGCTGAGAGACAGGCAGAGAGAGAGAGAGAGGTGGAAGCAGTCTCCCTTCTGAGCAGAGAGCCTGATGTGGAGCTCGATCCCAGGACCCTGGGATCATGATCTGAGCCAAAGGCAGAGGCTTTAACCCACTGAGCCACCCAGGTGCCCCCAGCCACATCCCTTCCTGAGGTACGAGGAGACAGCAAGGAAAGAGACTGACCCACCCAGAGCCCATGTCACAGTTTTAAACCTAGCTAGTGGTAGAGACCTGGATCCCAGAATTCCATGCCCAAACAACTTTGGGCCCACTTAGACGGCCTGCACAATGTGCTTCTCCCAAGGGCAGACCATACCACAATAAGACTGAGGGCTGGCCAAGTGATGCTGTGTTGGCGGATTTGTGCAAAGAGTTTGGATGTACAGGCTGGGGTCCTGATGTCCATACATGGGTGTGCATGAGACCTTTGGGAATGGGAAGAGAATAGGGTTAGGCTGAGATTCAGGAGCTGGAGTCTGAGGCTTGCTCCTCCTATACCACCACATTCTGAGATGGAACTCCAGGAGTCCAAGAATTATAAATTCCAATTTTGCCTTCCAAGTATATATACATATAAATGTGTATATGTCAAATTAGAAAGATAAAATATATTTCACTTAATTGTTTACTCGCTTAATTAAATGACATATGGGTTTCCATTTGCACGGTTGCACTAGATCCTACAAATGTTAAGGGACGTCTTGTGTCTGTGTATGTTTCTAGATTCTTGATCATGTTCCATTGGGCTATTTGCCTATTCCTATTTCAATAGCACCCTGCCATAATTAATATAATAATTAATCAAAAGGGCACTTCCCCTGCCAATTTTGTTCAAAATTATCTTAGTCATTTTTGTCCTTTTTTTCCTCCACTATAAATTTGGGGGAGCAACATATCAAGTTTTAAAAAAGTCTCCTTTAAGCTATCACTTTAAAAAAAAACCTTTTATTCTCTTTTTAATTTAAAAGCTCCCTTTTAGCCTAATTTATGAATTTTCTCATATTTTAACCCCCTGCCATTGATTCTGTCTTAACCTCTAAACTGGTGGTTTGCCCTCCAGGGGACATTTGACAATGTCTGGAGACATTTTTGGTTGTCACAACAGAAGCGAGGGATAGCACTAGCCTGCAGTGCGTAGAGACCAATACATGCTACGAGATGTCCTACGATGCCCAGAACGCCCCCGCAACAAACTATCTGACCCAACATGCCAACAGTGCCAAGGCTGAGAACCCAGATGACGTAGGAACATGTAGAACACATTATGATGCATATGTACACGTAAGTGTACCTTAGAAGTGTGTGTACTTGTCTGCACACATGTGAGTGTATTGTCATCAGTGCTTCGCTAACTACTTTCTCGCCCACTGCCCTGCATCTGGGATTCGCCAAGCAATTTACCAACATTATCTTGTTAATTCTCATCCAGTGCTCTAGAAATAGGTGACAACATGATTACACTTGTTTTATTAATTCAGAGACACAGATCAAGTGTCTTATCGGTATTCCTCACAAAAGAAAAACATATTTCACGAAGTCCCCTGTTTCAGCTATTATGTGATAGGTGATAGTTTCTTCCTTTCTTCTATTCATAAAAGTTGGATGAGTTTTTTTTCAGGCAACAATACACTTCCTACTTTTCAACATGTTATTTAAGTCTAAGTACCTAATTCTTAACATAGAACGGAACCTAATCTTAATGCACATTTTAAAATTTTATCTAGGTGGGTAGAAATATTTTCATACTTGAAGAAAAAAATCTGAGGAAAACTTTTATAGAAGATTGTAATGGGTTAGTGATTAAGAATCTGAGAAGAGCTAATGCTATCAAGGAATTAACTGAACTAATGAGGAGAAGCCGTGCCATTAGGTTTTAGACTTCATTTGTAAGTTTAATGTTTAAAAGCAAACTGATCTTCAGTAATTCTGAAGGGATTATTACTAGACACACTGATTCTTATGGAATCATAAATCTGGATGTGGCTATAAAAGAATAGTTCAAGCTGAAGGCACAGATCGTAAGGGCAAGCACATCCTTCTTGCTCCCCTAGCTGGTGGAATTATATCTAAGTATGTGTGATGATTAATTTTATGTGTCAGCTTGGCTGGGCCATGGTGTCCAGATATGTGTTCAGACATTATTCAGGATAATTCTGTGGTAATTATTGTTTAGGATGAGATTAGCATTTAAAGTAGTAACTTAGAATAAAGCTGATTAGCCCCTTCAATGTGGATGGGTCTCATCAGGAGAATTCCTGAGAACCGTAGCCTGACCTCCTCCTAGTCAGAGGGAATTCTGCAACAGATGGCCCGTGCACTTGAAGTACAGCGTTGGCTCTTTCTGGATCTCCAGCCTGCCAGCCCAACCTGCAGATTTGGGATTTGCCAGCCTCAATAATCATGAGTCAATTCCTTAAAATAGGTATCTCTCCATACATAGACACATACCCTATTGGTTCTGTTTCTCTAGAGAACTGTGAGCGATACAGTATGTAATGAAATTCTTTTAAAAAAATTACTTATCATGATCAACGATATGTAGAAAGATGGACTGAGAAACAGATACTTTAAACTAAAAAGAATTATACACAGTATCAAGTAGCCAGTTGTGTTTTCTTTCAGTTAGACAATTGGTTTACATACTTTTCCATCTTTCTCTGCTGTCAAATCCCATCAATGTGCTGTGAGTATTATAAATATACTGAGATAAATACTACGTATCCAGTTCTCCTGTCCTTGAACACATGGGAAAATAAATTTCCTAGGTGATCTTGCATTTAGGCAGGCCCGTGGGACTAGTCTTGGCTAAAGAAATGTGAATGGAAATCACCTGTGTCACTTCCAGGTTGAGGCAGGAGAAATTTTCCTGTGCACTTAACCAGAACCCTTCAGTGATTCTGGGGAGCAGAGCCGGCCTCTGCCTGGCTTTGATACAGAAATAAGCCTTTATTGTCTTTAACCACTGAAATTCATGACTGTTTTACCATGGCACAATCTGGCCTATCCAGACCAATATACAAGGCAATGCTTCCTTGCTGGCATACATAAATACTGGAAGAAAAGTTAACCGCAAGTATATCCTTAAGAAACATGGTCACATTCTCTAAAAGAATAACAAGGGGCACCCAGAATTAATACAAATAATCAAGAATTAATAAAGTTGTAAAATTAACATTACCATGTTATCTGATACTTGGACTAAATTCGAATGTATTTAAATCAGTTTATGTGTATATCAGTTTATGTCTCACAGTTTCTCTGACATTGTTCAAATCATCTCAATTCCCTCTTCCACCATTTCCTTACCACAATGTTATAAAAATTAGGAAGATGAATCATTTTTTAACATTGTAAGCTTCTTGGAGAAATGCATTTAACAAATAACAGCACAAGTTTTATTTGAGGCCAACATTCCAGGGCACATACAAATCAAAGAATAATGATCACATAATTTTAGTCCCATTGATGTATCATAACGAGATATAAATTGACATTGTGTACCTGACTAAGTTCTCTCTTCTACTTCCTCTCCTTCGAGAAGTGATGAAACATAGATACCACAATGTTTTTCTGGTTCCTGAGCTAGACTTCCCACCTACACGGAAGGAAGATTTGCTTCTCAGGAAAAAAAAAGAAGAAAAATACTTAAAGCTCAAACTTATCTCAGCAGCAACAGGCACTGGGTCCTAGTCATTTGCCCTGCTGGAGTAAATGGCTTTTCAGATCTAAATTCTGAGGAGGGTACTGGATTGGCCTTACTTTCTGTGTGCAAGACCTGGACCTAAACGTTACTCTCTTGTGATGCTGAACTAATCATTTAATCAAACTTACACTCAATTTTCTCAATTCAAAAATACGTTTATAAATATGTAGCTCATATTGGTATATCTGGTGCTTAGTAACTACTCAAAATTATTGATTGAATAAATACAAGAATGGATGGGTGGGTGGTAACTATGAAGTTCATAGATTGAGATAATGCTTGTGAATATATTTTCTAAATGATTAAGAGTTCTAACGATATATCTAACGATATAAGATATTATCAGTAAAAAAGTGCTTTAAAAACATTATCTCTAATATTTATTAGGTGTAAGTCTGCAGCCTGTTACGTTAACAAAGTAGAATTCTTATGGATTCTGTAAGCACTTAGTGGACTCCTCAGAAACTGGGAGGTTCCCTTTGTAGCAACCTGGATGGGGGCTTCCAGGCTGGAAACATATGTTAACAACATGTTTGAACTTCACAGTGGACATGGAGTTTATGCACCAGGAAGCTGAAGGAAGCCTTTCTAAAAACAATGATTCTGAAGTAGCTGGAAAGGGACCACAGAGGGGATGCCTTTACACCTCAAACTTGTATACTCCTCCCTCAGAGAAGATAGGCCGTGGGGGTGGGGGGTGGATACCCATTCCAGTGATGCCCCTAAGAAAGAACTTCCTCCAAAACAATGAATAATACACGTGAAAGACTTTTGACCTTGAAGCCGTGCAGAAATTAGGTTTATTCTGCTATATAGTTTAGGGTCTTGAAATCATAGGAACCTCCAAAAGGTGAAGCAACTGCTTCAGACGAGATCTTCAAAGAAAACCTCTGACTGATGTGAAGCTGCAAGACTTCAAAATGGTTACAGACTCTGACATCTGAGTTCTTCAAAAGATCAACTTGTATCTGGTTCTGATTTGCTATCGATTTGGAGAAAACTATTTTCTTTGGGCATCAAAGTTTGTTTTTGTCATAAGCACGAGCCTCTCCTCTCTAGCTCCCCCCAGACCCAGCTCATTGCAGAATTCTCAAAGGATTTCATCACCAGTAGACTGACTTTAACTCAGATTTACTTAGAACTTCAGAGTGTTAGGCAATTTGCTAGTTATCTGTGAAATCCATCTTTGACATATAAATAAAGCTATTAAATTTGCTATTACCATTTCTAAGAGAGTAGGACAGCCTAATTAGGTAATGACTGGTGATGACAATTATACCACCTTTATTTTTTTAATATTATTATTCTAGACTTGACTCCTCTCCCCACACCACTACCATTATTATCACCACCACAATCAAACTCCTTTTTCATTGGTTTAATCATATTCTGCTGGGGATGGTTTGTAAGACAAACAATCACAAAAAGTCTCAAGAAAAAGGAAGTTTAATTATATTGAACATTTCCCCAACTCTTTAATTTAGTTTTTAAAGAATTTCTAAGAGCTCCATTCATAATGGACAGCCACCAGATACCTACAAATGATTGTAATCTTCTCAAAGTCCAAAGGTGTTTTCCAAGAACAATACTCCTTAGGGTCACTACCTTAAGTCTGAAGCAATTAACATGAGGGCAGAAAGCTCCCCGAAAGCTCCCTCTGGTTTGTGTTTTTCTTTGCTATGGCCCCTGATATTTGTTTTCGGGGTTTCAGTAAGTCTAGACAGATTTCTTCTAAGTATGCAAGAATGAGGGCATACAAACATAGCTCACTACCTTGCTCTCTTTCTTTCTCTCTTTCTCTCCAAAAATCCATAGGATATAGGGGGTATAAACACTCTTCCTTACTCCAGCCAATAACATTCCTGAAAGAAAACAAAACAAAACAGAATGAATTATTAACACCAGAGATTGTCAAACTACTGGTGATAAAATAGCTACACAAATTATGAAATGTAATTTGTAATTTTGTTCTATTATTTTCATTAAGATTGAGTAGACAAAGTGGTAGAGACCTACCACTACCTGCAAATCAATTCTTTTTTCATCCAGGCCTGCCCTCATCCTCCGCCAAAACCCTTCTGGTCACACTAACTATATCAAGCAGCTCGTCGGGATAGTAGAGGCTTTCATCCCCACGACAGATAATCACATTTGGGTGTCCAAGCAAAAATTTCACCAGTCAAAGTTAAATAAGTAAGGAAGATTTTATGCAAAGCAATTGCAACAGGAGAGCAAGGCCAGAATTGCGTTTGAATTCATGTTCGTTGAAATCAACGGCAGGAGAATTTGTCAGCACTGGAGTGAGCTTGTGGAAGAGTACTGGAGGACCCTAGGAGGGAAGGTTGGTCAGTGTGTGAAGCCACAGAGTTACTCCTAAGCCTGCGAATGTTCTTCTCTGTGATTAGGCCCTCCGTGTTTGCTCCTGTGCATATGCACAGAACTACACAGTTAGCTTCCTCTTCTCCCACAGACACTGTGGCCCTGTCTCCTTGATGACTACATTTTAAAGAAATAACTCCCAGCTCTTGGAGAAAGACATTTCTGGGTTTAATACTGGCAAAAGGCTTCTAAAAGGTTTATATCTCAAAGGGGCAGAGAAAGAATTTACATGTTTTCTAAAGCAGATGCTCTGAGGAAAGGGACATCAGGAGCCTGGAATGAGGAAGAAGTCTGTCTGAAGTCAGGCAAGCTGAGAGGAATGTTAAGGCTGTCCTGGTCATGGGGTCATTTTGGTTACTGCTGAGCTAGAGTCTTTCCATAGTATGACATTCTACAAAATAAAATTTGGTGGAAAATGGGATTATTTTAACTACATACAAGAAGGGTTAGCCACAGAGTAGCCTCACTGGGAGAAGTTTCTCCTCTAAGTCATATCTCCACTTCAGTAATCATTGAAAACTACATGATGTCAGTATGTTTTTCCAGTATGCTCTTATTGATTATTGTGATCAAAATACAAAACTGGTTTTCAAATGCAACCAAGTCATCATATGGTTCAAGGGACCTGAAGAAAGGCAGTTACTTTCTGGGTACTTGCTTTATGCTCAGACATGAAAGAGAAGTCCTTAAAAACTTTTATTCTTTTTAATGATATACAATGATAGAACTGCCAGTTTGCTCCCCATTTCCATACATCACAGAATGAGCTTTCTTACCAAAAACCAAGCACTTTGGTTTTCACTACTACCTCAAACCCTCCCCAGTTCCCACCCCTGGTACTTTTTGGTTTTTTGTTTGTTTGTTTGGAAGTTGAGAAGCTTGCTTATGACGTTGCTCTTAGAATGTAATTTGAGTTATGTTTCTCTAGGCACCCAGAAGCCAGAACACATCACATAAATAAAATCAACTGCATTTTTGAACCAGGCTCTAAGCTTATTCATGGAAACCGAGATGAATTGCTTCCGAGTGGACATCAAAACTCATCCTTGCAATTGGAACACCTGTCCCAACAAATAAAAGAACTGGTGCTTCAAGAATAATTTTCTGTGTGTAAATTTCTCTGTATATTTCTCATCATACATATCGTCATATAAACAAAGTGTAAGCTAGAAAGGAACTCACTTTCCAATTGTTACATCTTCATTTCCTAACATTTCCTAACATTCATCCACAGTCTCTGCTGGCTTTACTCACCCATACCTGTGTACATATGTTTTGCCTCTACCAGCAGCCATCAAAAATGATGCAGCCTCTGGGTGAGGATACTGCCCTAATCGCTACTTCTCTAAGGTGTTTACAGCCAACCACTCACAAACAGCTTTTTTCTAAGGGATGTGATTTCTTAGTATTCCCCAGTGTTTTCTTTTTTCTTTGTCTAGCTTTATTGAGATAGAGGTGATGTATTGTATAAAAGGTGTACAACATGGTGATATGATATATGTATATATTGTCAAATGATTAACACAATAAAATTAGTTAACACCTCCATTACCTCACGTAGTTATCTCTGTGTATATGGTGAGAACATTTAAGATCTCTTCTCTCAACAGCTCTCAAGGATACAGTATAATATCGTTAACTATAGTCATCAAGCTGCACCTTAGGCCACAAGAACTTATTTATCTTATAAGTGAAAGTTTGTGCCCTTTGATCGACATCACCCCTTTCCCCCCACACCCCATGTATTTCCTTAGGGCCTTACTACATGTTGGGCTATTTAAATGAGTTAACTGCACACAGATTGCAACTCTTTTAAAAAAATTCTGATTGCCCACATTCACCCTTACTTCAAGTCTTAACATTTCTATAATAATTATGCTAATGACTGTCTAATCAGAAGAAAATATTTCAGTGTCACCACGGTAGGGCATCTGTTTGGGGCTGCCTTGGTTAACACCAGATTATCGACCATCTTACTTGGTTTTGATGACAAACTTAAATGGGAGAGACCACTGAAGATTTTAGATATAGTGCAAAATCATGACATGGAGTCACTTTAACAAAATGAGGGTGTTTTCAATCCCTTGAAGTAATATGATAAATACTTTGTGGGGGAAAATGCCTTATTGAATATTAATGTTAATAACAAAATTAGAAGGAAAGAAGGATGGATGGAGGCGTGGATGGTGGATCAAAAGGGCTGTGGGCTACAGAATTGGTAAAATACAGCTTTCTTTTCAGAACAACATGATTCTTATTCATTTTGTCATGTTTGTCATGTTATTTAATCAATATTCGATAACTAGACACATACTATGTATTCTTCCTTATTATAAAGCCTTCTGCAGTAAACTTTCATAAATATATTTAGCATACATCTGAATGACAAACAAGTACCAGACCCAACACAGCATTTATTGGAGAAAACTAGCCAGGACGGAGCAATCAAGGGCAGGTACACAGTTCCCTGTTGCCCATCACACCTAGACTCAGTGTTCAGAGATAAAGCAGGACCAGAGAGAAGCCCTGGAGAGTTTAAAGGCATGCAGTGCTTTCCCTTCCCCTAGTCTAACCTGTGTGGTTCCAGCAGTATATGGCAAAACTCCGGCCTCTTGCTCTAGTCTACCCTCTCTGGATTCCTGGTTGATGAACATGAAGGGAAGAACCTAAATAGATGACAGAATTTAGAAAACATGATGGATGGGGGAAATTTTTTAATGTTTAGGCAACATCTTGCCTAAACTGCCCAACTTACTTCATTTTCAATTTTATTGCTCTGTTTTAATTTTTTCATCACAATTATTTTTACCCTGAAATATTTTGTTTTATTATTTGCTCATTTAGAGCAAATTTGCTCACCCCAGACTTGAAGATGGATTTCATGAAAGGAGGGACCCTGTCTGACTTACATTCCTGGCATGCAAAATAGTATCTGCATCATTGTGAGAACTCTGAATATTTGCTGGGAAAAAAAGGAATGAATAAATAAATTCTATTACCTTGAAAATCACCTGTACTTTAGACAAATACTATGTAATATAATCTTTTTTTTTAAAGATTTTATCTATTTATTTGACAGGCAGAGATCACAAGTAGGCAGAGAGGCAGAGAGAGAGAGAGGAGGAAGCAGGCTCCCTGCTGAGCAGAGAGTCCGATGTGGGGCTTGATCCCAGGACCCTGGGATCATGACCCGAGCCGAAGGCAGAGGCTTTAACCCACGGAACCACCCAGGTGCCCCTATGTAATATAATCTTATATAAAGTATACAAACACTTATTATAGCATAGATGCATAATACACATACGTTTGAATATATATAATGTATATTATGTGTATGTACATATACATATATATATATAGTATACATTAGAGCATGTGTGTACACATGTGTGTGCTTAGAACTGGTGTAAGAATGAGCCTGCTTTGAGACTGGAAGACTGGTAACTATTCAAAAAGCCAACACAGCAATGTCAGGATTGGATTCCCTCTTTCCTCTCCGCCATGTGTCTTTCTTCTTTCCCAGAGAGAAATGATAGAGAATTTACCTTCTTCTGAGATCCTGAATGCCCTCTGCCATTAGTTGTCCTTCCTCACTGAAGCCCCAACCAATTGGGGGTGAGGTGAAGGGGTGTTTCTCTCTCTGGAGTCTGGGTATTTCTGGATTGACTTCACAATGTCTCAATCATGCTGAGGTCCACCAAGTGCCGGGGATCTTGCTGAAGTGTTGGCAACAATCTCATTTGGGAAACATCCGGGAACTGGGAATGCAAATCTGGGGGTGCATGGTATGATCCTGATGTCTGGATAGGTAGGGGCTGCTGATTCAGTAACAATCTCTCTCTCTGCTCACCTAAAACTTGCTGGCCGGGGATCTGGCCTCAGCGACCTGCCTTGAACCTCCCTCACCTCTCAGTCCTCAAGACCACAGCAAAGCCCTGGTTGTCATGTCACTATCTGGTATGAGGTACAGTGGCTTTTCTTTCATATGGCATCAGAAACTTCACTGGTAACAAGGGTTTTGGGGTTCTGAGGAATGTCTAGGTTTGGTCGGAATTTCTGCCCATCTCTGAGACCTGCATTGACTTCATGAAGCTATTTCGATTTCACTAAACTACATTTCACAACATCTGGCTGACTGGACTCTTGTCATTTCTCCGTAAGCTTAAACACATGGTTAGGGCACATATCGACCTTTCTATCTACAGACAGGTATGATTTCAGCATGTGAACCCAGAAACCACACACCTTGCTTTATCCTTTATGGCTGAGGAGTATTCTGTTACAAAAATCCAAGTGGACATAAATATTTCCTAATACTGACTATTCCTACTGACTATCCCATTAACCCAAGTCTTTGTTTAGCCCTAAGATCTGCAAGCCCTGTTTCAATTCAATGCATTTTCTAACCATGGAACAATGTCCTCTTGCCTCATACCTGACATGGTGATAACTCTAACATTCCCAGTGACAAATGACTTCTAGCAGTGTTACCCAAACCTACTTGATTTTGGCAGCTCAGCCTCCATGGGACTTGGTCTCAGCTCCTGACGAGGTTCCAGTCTAATTATGAGTGTCAGAGACCTCTGCTCCCTTTTCTGGAAAGACTCTGATTCCTAAATAAATTGTGTGTCTGAGAAGGAAAGATAACACCTCATTTCCAGCCTGCAAGTTTGAAGTCGTTTCTTATACTCTTTCATTCTGGGTATCTCACATAACACTGCCTCTGTCTAATTCAGCTGTGCAGGGAGGGTGGGGGGAATAGACTAGAAAATTTGAAATACAGCTTTTCTGTGTACTCAGGAAGAAACGAGGTGAACTTGGGCCAGAGCCCAGGGACTGCCCAGGGACTATTGTTTCTTGATATAACAGTGTACAGTTCAACCCAAGAGTCTTCCACACACACCCTCAGGAATTGCTGTAGGACCCACAGTGGAAGGTGAGCTTTTAACCAAAAGAAAAAAAACTTCAGAAAACCATTACATTTCAAAAGAAACTTAAGAATGCATTTGGAAAGAAGGGGGTTTAGGATAATCAGAACAAAGAGGAGGTTTACAGGGAAGGTCTATGAAGAGGTTTGGATAATTATTTGAGGGAATAAACCAGTCAGGGTATTTTAAAATGAGTTTCTAACTTTTTAGAAAGTGTGACAAAGTTCAGTTGATTGCAGGTGTTTTCCTCTTCAAATCTCTAAGACATCAAATTCCAGGCACTGTATTCTCACAGCCCATGTTACTCCTATTTCAGGCTCACTCTCCTGATCTCCTTCTTACTCAGGCAGTTGCTTTCTAGTGTTTAAGACCCTAAATCAAGCATTCTAGAAAATACGGTGTTAGAGGGTACTGATTCAGAGTTTCAGTCGGCAAACCAAATAATAGGTCTTAAATCTTAATGTGACCATGGTAAAACAGAGTGAGTCACTTGGGGATTCAACATGGTGATGTGTCAGAAAAATATCCATATGTACCCCAGAGATCTGTTTAGATATTTCTCATGTTAATTTTCTTCTCTTGAAACCCAGCTGGTCAAAAATGGATCCTTCTTTCTCTTTCTACATAATCCTTATAAGGCCTGATCTGCCTCTCTCATTTACTCCCTTTACAGGGCTCTGCATCTCAACGTCAGCCAAATCTAGAAGCCACCCTCCCACAAGAAGCTCTTGCCTTGAGAGGAGAAAGCCTCCTGCTTGGACAGATATTATGAAAAAAAAAAGAAAACAAACATACAAGCAAAAATCAGCCTCCTTGGAATCCCCCAGCTTGAACATATGAAGCAGAGTTTAGGATTTGGCCATCTCGAGTCAAGTGTAAGGGCTTTTCTTACATTCCTTCTGAACAACACAAAGAAGCCCAGTTGCTCCTCTGCCCAGAGACCACCCCATGGTCCTGAAATGGGAATATATTCTCCTCACTCAACTATGTTTTAGAACAGCATATTTGTAAGGTAACTTTTCTTCTGTATTTTTTGCAGTTAATAATTTCAGGAAGTTGAATAAGATCAACAAACAAGGTAAGTCCCAAGATCCAAATAAATTTTAAAGTTTTACAGTTGATATCCCCACTCCTAAGTGGATTACAAAGTTCAGTTCCTGACTTGGGCCTTCTAGGCTCCCTGTAGGATCTCGTTATGTGATTCTGGTTCTCTGGGTCTTCAGAGAAGAAGTACAGCTCAACAGTGGTGAGGACAGGCTGCTAGACTTGCAGTTCCATGCTCACTGGTCGTTATTTCACGAACAGTGTATGCCCTGGTTCCGTGGACAGGGGACAATGAGTTGGAGGCACTAGCATCAAGATAACTGCTCAGCGGACCCTGCCAGTATCCCAAGAGCCCACCCTTCCCCGTGTGTCTATAGATAAGGCCTCTGCTGAGTTTACCTGAACACATTGCTTACTTGAAGTCTTCAAGAATCTGACTATTGTTCACATGAAAAAATCTGGGATGCACTCTAGTTCCTTTTCTTTTTCTTTTCTTTTTTTAATCTATGAAGCCACTTTGATTTTATCCAGAAAAGTCTGCAGAAGAATTGATCAGAAAATAAACTGTCCTGGGGCGCCTGGGTGGCTTAGTGGTTAAAGCCTCTGTCTTCGGTTTCGGTCATGATCCCAGGGTCCTGGGATTGAGCCCCACAAGGGCTCTCCGCTTAGCAGGGAGCCTGCATCTCTTCCTCTCTCTCTGCCTACCTCTCTGCCTACTTGTGATCTCTGTCAAATAAATAAATAAAATCTTAAAAAAAAAAAGAAAGAAAGAAAGAAAAAGAGGCACCTAGGTGGCTCAGTCAGCTGAGCTCAGTGGGGAGTCTGCTTGAGTTTCTTTCTCTCCCTCTCCCCTCCCCCTGCTCATATTTGCATTCTCTCTATCTGCATCTCAAAATAAATAAATAAAATCTTCAAAAAAAAAAACTATCTTGAAAATAATGATGATGCTTCATAATGTGACTTTCTTAAAGGACACAGTATGGATCTCGCTAAAGAAGCTAGTGAGTGATTTGCTCTCAATTCTAACAGTTTTGAAATGTTATTCTTTAAGGAACTCTAGGCAAGCTTGAGGAGGAAGTTATATCACTTCCATTTAAAGTTGCCAGATTAGTCAAAAGGAGTGAATATAACTTTCTTATTTCCTGAAATTTTTTTATAATTGCCCTTTTTATTATATAAAGACTTGGTAAAGAAAAGAAATCAAAATAGGAAGAAACTAGCTCACCTATCTTTCTTTTCAGAGCATACATTTTTAGTACCTAGCACAGTCTCTTTTCTATTTCCGATTATTTTTTAACACAAGTTTTTTTTCCACTCTTAGGTTATGTATGGATAGACTGCCAAAAATTTGTCATTAACAAGTGGCATTTAAATGGCAATTTTTCAATAGTAAAATATAAGGCTATGATTAAGAATCATTATTGATGTGTCAAAATCTGACACACTCAGTTCATACCTGTGATTGTACTCTATGATTAGCAAGTCGAGGAAATTTATATCCCTGGTATGTTATTGCGTTTGACTCAGATTTTTCAAAGATTGTTTTAAATTCTGTTTGTTCCAACTTTCTGTTTAAGTGAAATTGTCTCAGAAATTAGATTGGCTCACAGATCAAATGCCTGTTTGGAATGGGACTTTGCAAAAGCAGTGTCTACTCACTGTATGTTTTAAATCAATTGAACTTGGTGCCATACATTAAAGTTGCCTGGGAAGGTTGAATTCTTTTTCCTTTTTTCTTTTTTCTTTTTTTGTATTAATAGTGGAAGAGCCTAAAGATTTTAGTTTAATAGGACTAGAGTGAAGCTGCTAAAAAGAGCCAAGATCTGAACCACTAATTTTCCCTAAAAGGGATAATTGAGTGTCAGGAGAAACCATAGGACCAGGAATCTATACATTAGTTTGTATGTTTTTATCCATGAAGGATTGATTTAAGACTAATGGTTAAAGATCCCTTATCTACTTTCATGTTTGTTATCCCTATATATATATTTTTTAAAGATTTATTTATTTATTTTAGAGAAAGAGAAAGCGCAAGCAGGAAGGACAGAGCAAGAGGGAGAGAGAAACTCAAGTAGATTCAACATGGGGCTCGATTTCACGACTCTGAGATCAAGACCTGAGCTGAAACCAAGAATGGGACACTTAACGGACTGAGGCATCCAGGAGGCACCCCTCCCTATATATTTTCTTAAATGTGGCTCATCCCAATTCATGTGGGCCTTTATTTGTGAGCAAGCGTATGGGGGAGACAAATTTCGCAGAGAAACTAAGAATGATCCATCTCATTTTAAGTGCAGAAACTAAATGAACTTCCTTATGTGGTGATCTGGACCAGAGCTCTTTCTATTGTTAACTTGGGGGTGTCTCAGGGCTATAAAGGACGACATGCCACAGGAAACTCTATGCTTCTGATTGTAAAGTCAAAAGCCCAGAGAGGTCATGTCCCATCCTCTTGTTGATTCAGAAAAAGACAGAAGATCTGAAAAAGCATGAGTTCCTTATAGTGCCTAGAAATGCAAAAGGCCTGGATAGACGTACCGAAACCAGCACTCCCTGCCTCCCAAAGTATCCGAATTCAGTAGCATTTTGCTCACCCAAAGGACACATCTGTGGCGACCTCCCTCAACCCTGACACATAACAAATGCTCTGTAAATCCTCTGGGAATTGATTAGAAAAATGGCAATACTAAAATGCTTGAATCCACAGGAAAAGAAGTCCTTTTCTGAGCCTCGAATAAAAGCCCATTGATTTACAGTGGGGAAGAAATGATTTTTTTTTTTTAACGTAACAAACTTGGTCATCTGTGTCCCTAGATTACATTAAACAACCTTTTAGAAGGGCCAGTTGGGCTGTTGAGCTAGAAGCTGATTCAGAGAAAGAACAGCTGATACAAAGACCAGAGCTGGAAAAAGAGGGTCTCACCAAGTTCACAGTAAAACTGAAACAGTTGAAATTTATCACTCCGGTTGCATAAGAGAACTTTACATTTTGTTCTGGATACTGTACTTAACAGGACAGGAAAATATCCAACATACATTAAAAAGATGTGACTTTATCTAAAATGGCTAAATGTAACAGTGAATAAATTCTAAGCCTTCATTATTATAAAATTTCAATTATGGGAAACTATTTTCTGATAAAGCTACACAGATGGAACAATAGTCGTCTTCTTTTCTATAGGAAATTAAGACTCCTGGTCCTAGGGCAAATATATACTCATCACGTTCCCCCAGAATGCCAGTAATTGCCACACTTCCTCTTTCCGTTCTCCCAGTGGATTGAATGCCAGTCAGTGTTAGCTACCGACTCCTTGGGGCTGCTGAAGCTTGCATGCTGACTCTGTAATTAAAAGCCTGTGCCAGGAAGCAACTGTCAGCTCAAGCCTTCCCTCCTACGGTTGAATGTCTGTCAACTCAAGGATTTATTTTTTTAATATGAGAAAATGTCAGTTGCCGTCTGAAATAAAGTTTTTGATGATTCAAGCAAACATTGAATACCTGATGGTTAAATAAGAAAAATTCAAAAAATACAGCATTGCTTTGAAAGCAGCTCCTTTCCCATTGTGAAAAGGATTTTACCCAAGAACACATCATAGATCATAAATATTACATATTCCTATTTTGTAAATTTTGTGCACACACACACATGTGTGTGTGTATTTTAGGGCTAGTATTTTTTAATAAGAAGAACCTTTAAAAAAAAACCCTCAGGATTTCTTATCACTACATCTGTTCCTGTGAACATAAAAACATTCTTGGTAGGAAAATAGCATGAAGGATAGTAGCAAAGATGATATTTATTCATCATGAGTTTTAATACTTGGTGAACAACGGTATGCCTATCCTGATTTCATGCCAAAATAACAGCCTAATATATTTTAATTCAGAAAGAAGAACAGTTGACATATTATGAATACAGGTGACCCTTGAACAATGCAGGTGAAGAGAGTAAGATGAAGTCACTCATGTCAAGCAGTGACATAAGCAGCCAAGTACACTGCAACTAAGACTAAATGTCACTGAAATGAACACAGGCCAACGACACCCAGAATTGACAACCAGCAGACCCAGAGGAGGCCTGCAGAGGCCCAAGACTGTTGAAACGCCATGAAAAAGAGGACATTTGCAGCAAACGACCAGATTCTCCAGACGCTGACCCTTTCACATCAGACCACATCAAAAAGGCCGTTGCAGCTGGAGGCTCCTCCTGGCTGATCTCTGAACAGAGCAGAGCTCCTCCAGACTTCAACGTAAGAGGCAGCACCTGCCCAGCACCAAGCCTGCCTGGACCCAGGCCTCACCTCAGCCGCGCACTCTCTGATGGACTTCACTTTCGGTTAGTGACCTTCTCGCCCCTGGTTGTATCTTGTTTGTTGTGTGACTTTGTGTTGTGCTTTGCTTTGTGTGATGTGGATGAAGCCAAGTTACATGCGTAGTGAAATATCACTGAGTTCGGAAGCCTGAAACTGCTTTGTAATTAGGTTAACCTTCATTTATAATTGAATAAACCTGACATTCTGGAACCACCCACTCACGTGAGTGCACCTTCATAGGGTGCTGGCAGCAGCAGGGTTGGGGGGGCCGACACCCTGTGCAGCTGAAAATCTGCTTAGGACTTTTGACTCCTCAAAAACGTAGCTACTACTAGCCCACTGTTGACCAGAAATCTTACCGATAACATAGACAGTTGATTAACACATATTTTGTATATGTATTATATACTATATTATTACAATGATGTAGAGAAAGAAAATATTAAGAAAGTCATAAGTGAGGGGCGCCTGGGGGGCTCAGTCAGTGGTTTCGCTCAGGTGGTGATCTCAGGGTGGTGGGATTGAGTCCCCGGTAGGGCTCTGCATTCAGCCCATGGTCAACTTTAAATTCTCTCTCCCTCTCCTTCTGCCCCTCTCCCCTTGTTTGCTCACTATCTCTCTCTCTCTCAAACAAATAAGTAATTTTTTTAAAACAGAAAAGTATAAGGAAGAAAAAAATATATTTATGGTACTATGCTGTATATATATGTATGTGTGTGTGTGTGCGTGTATATATGTATATATATATATGTATATGTAAATATATATATATATAAATCTGCTTGTAAGTGAGTCTGCACAGTTCATAGCTGTGTTGTCCCAGAGTCAACTACATATGCTTGTGGTGGTATTTCCTTCCCAAATTCATTTGTGTACGCTTGAGTAGGCCTTACCCATATTTATTTATAAATGATGGAGAAAGGGTAATGGTAGCAGCTCCTTTCATCTTGTCCTCCCATCCGCTGCAACTCCTGCCACGGGGCTTCCCGTTGTTAGTTCTGGGATTCCCCTGAACGACCTGTGTAGTGTAACGACTCGAATTATGTAAGACAGTGCTGTCACCATACCACGCATTTTCCCCTGGAATTCCTCCCCAGGAAGAACCAGGACACCAACGTTCTTACAGAGCTGTGGCTCTGCCCTTTCATGTGTTCCTCCTTGAAAATGGGCCATTGTTGTTCTGTGCACATCCCTGTTCCCAGAGACTTTCAGCAGGAGACTTACAGCACACCATCCCCTCCACTTCCTCCTCATCACTTCCTTCCCACAGGAGGCATCCTGGCACTGGTGTCTCCTTCCTCTTCCTTGACTGTCATAAACAAAGGCCTTGTGCAAATCAGTCCTTCATGAAGATCCATCCCTTTAGACATATTTGAACCTTAAGTCACAAGGAAGCTAGGTAGCCCCTCCACATTCTTTTCCTGAAATGAATGTGTGGAGGCCTTTCCAAATTTCCAAGGCATTGTTTAAAAAAAAAAAATCTATATAGGATAAAGGGTAATGATAGTATGTTAAAAAAGATAAACACACGAAGGGAAGAGAAACATTAAAGTCATTCCTCTTCCTAAACTAGATGAGTAGCAGTAGGGTGTACATGTGTGATTATATCCAATACCTGCTTTTATGAATTGCCTCTAGAACACTTTCATTATAAACCTTAACAGCAACAGTTCCATCTTTATTTCATAGTTTTATAAATATATCTAGAGGCCCATTTGAGGAGCACACTCGATAAATCCAGTTAATAGCTAATAACTCTCTAAGACCACTCAGTTGCTAAAGAAAGTAGCACATGCTAAGTTTTTATTTGCAGGCACTGAAATGAATGACTACATTTTCATCCCACACAGCTAGAGGTAGGGATTACTAACGATGCTAAGTCCCATTACTAATCTTTTCCTTGCACAATCAGGAAATACATTTTCAATGTCTTGCTGCATATAAGAAACTATGTTAGGTATTTTGATGCATTAAGAAAATAAAAATAAAGTCACTGACCTGAAGATAGCTTACCATCTAGTTTGGGAAGAAAAACGTGTACATACAAATAAATATAAGGCCATACACTGTATTCCAAGTTTGTAGATCCGTAAAGCTATGAAAATGTAGAGTTTTTATTTTTTAAATAATGTGCTTCATACTTATACAAGAGCATAGACTCCTGATTAGTAGCTATTCAGAGATAAATTTTGTGTTCTTGATCTTTTGCCATAAAAATCTCTAGGCAGCTTAGCAAAACCGACTAGTTGAGACCTTGTTATTGATATATGAATTCCATTCTTTTTGAAATAAGAATATTTTTCTTTGAAATGCATGCCTGTTTGTTTGATACATGATAAATGTATTTGGCATGATATTCAAAAGATAAAATATATAAACGGAGAAAAGTAAATTTTAATCTCTTTTTCCTTCTCTAGTTATCAGTCCCCCACTCCACCCCCAGCCAATACTTTCACCAGTTTCTTATATATCTTTCTAGAGAAATATTATGCCTTTACAAGCTATAGATACAAGCTCTGCCTTGTGACATAAATGATAGCATAGTATACATTCTCTTTTGTGTTATTCACTAAGTAACATAACTTAGAGTTATTATGATATTTCCATATTAGTCCACGTAAAGGTGGATACACCATAATGCATTTAATCAGTACCCCATTAAAGAACATTTAGCTATTTTTCAATTTTGCAAGTACAAGCAACATTTGATTGTACAAGTACAAGCAATAATGAATATCCTTATAAATACATTATTTCACATATGAAGTGGAATTGCTGGATTAAAGGGAGGTGCATTTTAAATTTTGATAGATACAGTCAATTTCCTTCCAGCAATAAATTCCTTCAATGGCAAATCACTTGTGAAAATAGCAAACCAGTGGAGCAAGCTGAACATCTGTTTTCTTATGCAAGAACCAAAAGTGATTTAAAGCCTTACATTTTAAGGCTATATCTATAACCAGAGTGATAAGGCCAAAATTATTCAAGAACTATTTCAAATGAAGCGTTTGTCTTTAAATTAGCCATGGTCCATAGACTTCAATTGCCAGGGAACAAATTTTAAGGACAAATTCAGGGGTCTTTATTTTTAACTAGCATTAAGGTCATCAGCAGGGTAAACTTGGAAATTTTCTGTCAGTGGGATCAATGAATATGGTCTAATAATTTTTCTGAACATCTCCCCCAAAGTGTTTTTTTCTTTTAGACCAACAAACAATATTTGACAAATATTTATTGAGTATCCCTTGTGAGTCAGCCACTGTTGAAAATAGATACAGAACATGGCAATGAATATTACATGGCCTCTGACTTCTATTAGAGAAGCTTCATAGAGAGAGAACAACATATTAATAAAAAAGACAGTCAAGCATTACAGAAGTGTTAACAAGGACCAGTGGATATACGAAGAGAAATATCTATGGTATCTGAGGGAGAAGACTTTATAGAGGAGATAGCATGTGAACTGAGTTTAACAAGGTGATGTTCCACATGCACTGAAGATGGCAATGACATGAGGAAGCAGAGGCCAGGAGGATGAAAAAATTTGTCACAGTCCAGAAAAAAAATTCAGAATAGTCAGAGAGATAGATATAGATAGACATAAGTATACACACAAACACATATATATGTGTGTATATACACACATATATATTATGTCATATATAGGATCTATATTTAATACATCATATATTATACATCATATATATTTTTATATATAAAACTATGGGAGGGTGAGGGATAAAACCATGGATTGGGGAGGGCAAGGGAAGAAATGCGGCTTGAGATGAGGTTGGAAGAGAAGTCAAAGACTAGATCCTGAAAGAACTTTGTATGACATAGTAAGGTATTTTGACTTTGTATCTCCTAACGCGAGCAGTGCACCACTGCTGACTGATAACGCTAAATCTGTTACAGGTTCACATTCCATGAACAGTTCAGCTCTGGAGTGACTGAAGGTGTGAGAAAAGCTCCCACCCAGGCAAGTCCCCCTGAACAAGTAATCCCATCCATTCACACCAAGATACATAAAATCTTTTATGTGTGCCATGATAAAGAGAAAGGTAGAGACACACTCGGGTGGGTAATAGGTTACTTAAGCTCCTAAATCACATGCAGTTTAGAAAGATCACTAGGAATTGCATAAAAGATAAGGAAGGTTTAAAGGCCAAGTACTGAGTTGAGAATTGATAATTAAAGGTACAATTAATTTCTCCCAGGAGGTAAAAGGATGGCACCCACATTTTGGATTCATTGACCAAGAGAAGAAAAATGCCTTTTGCTGAGTTTAAGAAAAAAAAGATGAGAAAGAACTTTTGCAAGAAGGATGAGTTGAACATTAGAGTAATCCTTGAATGCAAAATGCCAGAGGGACACATAAGATGCCTGTGGAAATATCGAATGTTGCCATTGGCTCTGTGTGTACTTAAAATCAAGTATTAGAAACTGTAGATCCTGCAGTTACCCTGTTCCCATTAGGAACTTCCCTAAATGTGAATAACAACTATGTGGAAAGTGGATTAAATAAGATTGAGATTTTTTTGGGCCATGCAGCTTGACCAATCTGGAGTTGGGTATTCCAGACTTGATGCTTTAGCTCCAGGGTAAGAGCTATGACCCAGACACCCTAGAAGTTTCCAATGCTCTATGTTTTCTGGTGGTTTCCTGCCTTAAGTCATCACAAGGTCATAAAATGGCTGTACTTGTAGTCCTAGCCAAAATATCCACATTCCACAAAGGAAAAAGGGAAAAAAAAGGAGAGGACAAAAGGCCAGTTGAGTTTAATCATTCTGTTAAGATTTCCTAGAGACATTGAAACTTGCCTCCAGAATGATGCTGGACCCTTTGGGGTAACCAAAGGTTAGAGAGCCTGGAGAAAGAAGATATTCCCGTGGGAAGTAGCCTTTGTATATACAGAAAGGCTATTTGCAAAAAGTAAAGTTTCACATCCCACTCCCATCGGCTTTCATTTGTATCCGATCAACTAGCCATGAGTTTGTTCTCTCCTTCAAAATGGACTGTGCCAAACTCATTTCTAGATGCTAAGACCACAGAGAAGAGCATCGATCAAAATAAAATAGTAAATATTGAAAATAGTTCAAGTATATCTGAATCATAAAGTTTGTACTAGTGGCTATCCTTATTTACTATGCCTTTCTATACAGCTCATCATACCATAAGAAAGTAGAAGCATTGTGATGTAACCTATTATAAATAAATATATATATATATATATATATATATATATATATATATATATATTGACTTTTTTTAAGTACAAATTTTGGTTGAAGGAGGGGAGAGAAAAGACCCAGGGCCTGAGCTCTTTTTTGGATCACCACATGTCAGCAGTGTTAATCTCCATAGCTATTGGTCATAGCCAAACTGTTATGCTACCTTCCAGATTAGAGGTCCCTTCCAGCTGACCACTAATTTAAGCATCTTGATGCAGCTGGGAGAGATTTTCAAACACATCAAGACTAGACCACATGTCAACATAAGGCATGTCAACGAGATGAGAAACAAAGCTGGAACGTTCTACTTTGGCTCGGTGTTGCATGAGGGCCTTTTAGTTCTAGCAAAAGATGCAGTCCATTTGTGGTGTTTGTTTGCTGGTAAACTTGCCTTGTAAACCAGTGTTCTTGGTGTGTACTCTGGCATTCTCACTATCAAATGTTGGTACAACAACATTGGCTAACTATTGCATCTCCTTTCAGAAAAACCCATTTGATATTCCTTGTCTAAGCAATGGCCCATTCAATAAAAATCATTTATTGTGATCATGACTATTATATAAACAGATCAACTTTTGACATTTCTGCCTTTAAAAACATCATACCCACCAATCACCCTACTCCTTTCAACAGTTTTCCTTTTGTGACTCATATGTTTCCTTTTCAATTACCATCCTATTTTCCTTCTAAATTAATACTTATTGGAAAATGCTATGACAATGTTATGAAAATAATCCCACACAAAACCTTGAAGAATCTTATTTTCCATGAGCCTCCATTGTGAGAGTCCTTTTCATGTCTTGTGAAAGACCCATTTAATCGGCCGAGATCGCAGTAGTTTAGGAAACAAAGGATGTTCCTACACATTCTCTCAGCTTGGAGACAACACACCATGGATTTCCCTGAGCTGACCACGCCTAGTGAGTAGTTGACCCACCCAATGGCTTTCTTTGGTTCCTTAATAACGATTGCGTTTTTCAAATGATAAATATTCTTGGCAGCTCAGGTAATTTTTCAGACTTTTTTTCTACCTTTGGCAGGACTTGTTTCATCCTTTTTGGGTTTATCTGTTCCTCCTGCCTTCTATTTTCTTCTCCTGCTTCCGACAGCCAGGAAATATAGAAGATGTCTTTTACTTTCATTCTCAAACTTTCAGGCCTTCCCAAAAAGTAGAGAAAAAATGTCTGAAGTTAATGAAAGGCAATTTTTCCTTCACCTACTGGAGAAATTGAAAATATGACATTTCGAAAAGACATACAGAGAGACAGCTTAAAGTCTGATAAAATCTATGTCAAATTAAGTGACCCCCCCATCCCATAATTGCTCGTCAGGTGGTTGAGCTCCATCAGGATTACTCAGGATCCAGACTAGCTTGAGCAATTTACAAATACTCTCTCCCTTTTCCCTGTGAATTACCCCTCAGTTTTGGTCCCATTACTTCTCCCTATCATTTTCCAGCTTTCACCCATTTGCAGACTAAATTACATGTCAGACATGAGGAACCTTGGAACACCAATTTCATGCACAGAAAGTTGAAACGAAGAAGCCCAGAGCAATGTCTTCCTTACCTGAAAAGAGCATCTTTCTTTCTGTGCCAAGAAGAAAATATGTGCCCTTTTCTGGGTTTAGATAGCACTAAGAATTTAATCTGCATTTAGTCTCATTTTTAAATTATAAAATGGGGATAAATAATCCCTTTAGAGTGGTTGCAAGGTTGGCGATAGGTCCTGTTATATGACCAATAAAAGAGGTTATAGTAGGAATAATAATAACACAAAGCAAATGACTGTCTAGCACTTTCAGCAATGTAAAGGGCTTTCATATGCAGGTTTTTTCATTTGCCCTCACAATAATCTCAAGAATTAGCTAGCTAGTAGATACCACAGATGTGGAAAGTAAGAAAATTCAACTGACTTGATCAAAGTCACCCACTTCGGAGGAATCAAAACCTTGACTAAAACAAGGACATTTGATTCTACTCCCCAGACTGTCTTTCTGTGCATTCAAAATAAAATGAAATTTGACTAAGTCTGTTTATCTTCATTCATAAAATACTATTGTTCTGATCATTGAAAAACAGACTCTCAAAATGAGAAAAGTCTTATATTCCAGTCTTTCACTCTATCCATAAATCTTTTCAACAACATATCACATCCTCTGAATTCTTCTAAAATTAAAGTGTCAGGAAGCATCCTATCTTGTATATGGCTGCCTGTTCCACTATTTGAGTTATCCTGTCTTTAGTGGAATCAATTTTTTCTTCCCCTCGTCTTCAAAGCACCAATACCATTTGCCTTCTCTGTGTAGGGTGTTCTGCCTGGCATTTGCTTATGTCCTTCAGATGGATCTTTTACCGTAGCTTTCCAGATAACTACTATGTGATGGCTCTGCTTATATTTTAAAATAGGTTTCCTCTCTGTTCTGTCTTCTCTTAGGTAAATGTCCCCAAATCCTGATATGAGACATTTACCTGCTTCCTCTCTAGCCTTGACATCTGTTTCTTGAACATTTCCTAATTGTCAAAAGAGCATCCAGCCAAAATTCCAGCTGCGTTCTCTATAAGATACTGGAGGAGTCACTTAGGCATTTAAAACCTCAACCACCATCTCCTGCTCAACCATCTCATGAAGGGATGAGAAGACCAACGCCCAGATGGCTGAGAAACTTGTCTAAGGACACAGCAGTTGTGGCACAGGACACCTTGATCATATCCAGTAATATTATTCTATTATCATCATGATACTAACGGTTCTCCCTTCTTAGATCTGCAAATATGAAAAGCTGAAAAGTCACTGGGATGTTAAAACAGTCACTAAAAGAATGTTCTCAGCTGATTCTGCACTGAATTGGTCATTTGATGTACCTATTTCTTGGGGCTAACCCCTGAAAAATGTCAGGGCTCCCACAGAAGCAATCCTTGCACTTTCACGGAAAATCACCCCCTAGACCATTAGAGCTCTAACACCATATGGGTCTCCATTATAGGTTAGACAATATCATGCATTCTACTTACAGCGAAAATTACTTGCAAGACCGTAGTTGAATCTCTGTTGCTGACCTTCTAATGACTTAAGGAATGTCTTAGATGTTTCTCAGTTACTAATATTAACCTACCTGAGGCACTAGAAAAAAGAGTATTATATACTTACAGGGTATTTCTAAAATCTTGGTGCAAGGAAGTATTAAATATACAAATATTTAGTAACTGGTATAATTGAGGAATAGGTTGTTCTCATTACTCCTCCCTACATAGTGAAATTGCTGGGGCAATGCAAAGATTTGCCACAGAAAATCTCCTTTATCTCCAACTGCATGGCCTTATTTTTAAACAGTGTGTTTTAAAACAGGTGGTTACCAGAGGGAAGGAGGGTGGGTGGATGGGTGAAACAGGTGAAGAGAATTAAGAGTACACTTGTCTTGATGAGCACTGAGTAACATATGGAATTGTTGGATCACAATATTGTATACCTGAAACTAATATAACACTTTTTTAACTATACTGGAATTACAATAAAAAAACAAATATGGTAATTCTACAGACTAAAATCTGATAGCAAGATAACCAATAACAATATTAATACATTTTAAAAGGAGTTTAAGTAAGCACACAGGAAAAATAAATCCTGTGAATTTTACATAAGTAGAAAGCTTAAGGAATGAATAGAAATAATATCAAAATTTAAAAATCGGAAAAATAAGAGGTCTGAGGTGTTTCTGAGAAATACCAGAGGCTTAAAAAGTATTTGTGATGGTCATAACTAAAATG